CTGCCGAAATCTGAGAAATCATGTCTGCAATCTGTGCAATCGCCTTTGAAATCTGGCTGGAATCAAAGCTTAACGATATATTAGTCCTAGTTCAAGCTAGTTCAAAGAGTTAAAATGACAACAACGAACAGCATTATGTTACTGTTTGTATCATAAATATAAAAAAATATATAAAACACACCACATAAATGAGACAACTCCCAAATCCAAAGCCAAAGGCTGTGCGGAAGGGGGCTACACTTGAAAAAATGCGAACAAATATCCATTATCCATCGACATTGCCAGTGCCGATGCCAGGGATCGAACCCGGACCAGAATAGGAAGTCTGGCCGAGAAATGCTTGCCACCGCATGCTCGACCGACTACGCTACCGTGGTGATAGATGGCAAAATTTAGTTAAGAAACTAACTAATTTGTAATGTATAAATAATACCATAATTCAAATACAGTAAAATCTCTATAATCTGGCACTTTATTACACAGGCACGTCCAGTAATTCGGCGTTATCTTTTCCGCGGAATTTGCGACAGGTGTTTAAACAATGATTGAGTGAAAAGAAACAAATGTCTATGAACAATTATTTTACAGAAAAATAAAAACATTACAATATACATATACAGTTTATGCCATTTAACACTCCCGCTGCCAATATTTCCAAAATGAATTTTATTTTAGTACCGGAAACTGGGGTTGTTAGGTCCCTCGAATAGCTTCAAATTGTAGTTAGAACTCTTAGTTCAAATCTTTCTGTATAGATGGCGTGGCGATACTAAAAAAATTTTTGATCTCTGGAACGTGGAAATCCAGTCCATCTGAAAGATCATTAAATTTTGAGTATTTTTTTAATATAAAGTTTTTCCCAATGTTTTTGAGACATGTCGACTTCAATATGCAATGTATGGTGTAACTGGAAAATCTATTATTTTATCTAAATCATACCGAGAACAAATATTCTTTTAAAATATTGTTATAATGACTTTATACACACTAACTAACAAACAATAAATTATAAAAAACAAATAATCAACTACAGAAAGAAATTGTACAATGGTAAATCTTATAACTAGTATAGTTAAATTGAAAGATGCAAGCAGATAAAATTGTAATTATTGGAAAACTAATATGTGTCATCTGTCATAGGTGTTTTATTTTAAACAAATGACATGAGCCACCTATGACTATTTTTTCATGACATTTGATAAAATGCAGTTCGTCTCTGCGCCTTATAAGATTTACCATTGTACAATTTTTTTGCCTGTACTTGATCGTTCGTTTTTTACAATTTATTGTTTGTTAGTTAGTATGTGATGTGAATAAAGCCATTATAACAATATTTTAAAAGAATATTTTGTCTCAGTGCGAAATAAATAAAATAATGGATTTTCTTGTTACATTATACATTGCCTATTGAAGTCGACATATATCGAAAACAAGTAAATATAAGGAAAAACTTTATATTACAAAAATTACTCAAAATTTAACGATCTTTCAGATGGATTGCATTTCCATGTTCCAAGGATCAAAAAAATTTTTAGTATTGCCACGCCATCTATACAGAAAAATTTGAACTAACATTTCTAACTACAATTTGAAGCTATTCAAGGGACCTAACAAACCCAGTTTCCGGAACTAAAATAAATGTCTTCATTTCGGAGAGATTGGCAGCGGGAGTGTTAAATGGCACACCCTGTATATGCACACACAAATATAATATGTATGTATACAGGTATATGTACCAATTCTTTGTTAATAAACAATTAAAAGTAACGTTTTTTAATTTAATACATATACATATTCCATTAATTCGAATTTTCCAGTACTCCGTCTCTCTTAGGTTTTTAATCGTGCCGGATTAATGAGATTTTACTGTATTCATTCAATTTAATTAATTTCATCTATATTAAGCTAAAAACCTTATGACTAAATTACTCGAAGGAACTAAATTAAAATACGTTAAAATATTTATAAAAAAGTACTAACAAGAATGACCAGTCTTATATTTCTCTGAATCTCTATACAATTATAACAAGCAGGCAGTGCATGTTTTTCGAGTAAAATGACAGATCTTTTTTCTTTGAAAAATGATTGCAACTCAAATGAACTTAGGTATAGAATTAGAAAAATAATCAGTGGCATCTAAGCTCTATCATTTTTAGTGAAGATCGTCTTTCAGTATCTCTGGTACTGGTTGATATAACTGTACAGGAATTCAGTAAATTTTTACCTTTATTTAATTAAATGACCAAGCCAAGTTTAATTAATCTAGGTAATACATTTTTTGAGATATTTGCAAATTTAAGATGTTTTTTCAAAAATTTAAACACCCTGTAACTTGAAATGAACCAAATTTTAACTAAGGAATATCTAACCCAATTATCATATTTTGAACACAAGATTATCTGATAGCATTTATGTTCCTTCATTTAAACTTGCCCTGTATATGTAACAAATACAGGGCAACAGTGAAAAAAGTTCAATATCAAGTAGAAAAAAATATCTACATGGTGTCCCGAATTACATAAATAAAAAATCTAATGACGGAACTCATCAAAATAAGAAAAGAGATAGAAGGTGCAGAATTTGAAATTCCTGAAAACCTTTTTTGAACATATTTCTATATTTACAGTGACACAATGATAATTATAAAATAGAATAGCCTAGGAAAAGATTTTTTTGTATTTTTCATGTAGGTACACTTTTAAATAGGAATTTTAAAATTTGGACTTCTTTTACACAAAAATTGTTTCCTCCATTTTTTAATAAAAATTTCCTATTTTCCTATTTCGAGAAAAAATCATACCAACCATGTTGTCAATTAAATGAAAAACAAAGGAAACCTGCTGATTAAAATTTGTACATTAAGACATCACTTTCATAATTTACTTAAATATTACTCACATAATAAGACGAAACCAGGGTGAGAGGGTAGATGATGCCTGTGTACATCATACATGTGATGTAAATAATAGTTTTAATATACAAATATTCTCGCAAATATTACTGAAGTTCTACTCAATTATTACTAAGTATTAGATACTCAAAGATTGTACACTAAACTACTTTTGTGATTTCCGTCAATGAAAAAAAAAAATTTCTAGTTTTTTAAATATATTAAAATACATCTAGTTTTTGTGTTTTGATGCCTATTATCATAAATCTATCAAAATTGTTTGCAATATTGATTAACTCTGCAAAGCAAAAGTATAGTCTTTGCCATATCAATTGAAGAACCAAGAGGATGACAGTATGTACCAGGTTCGGTAGCTGATGCAGCAACTCGGCATTGAAATATTTGAAAAACTTGTTCCCATATTTATTTAGCCATACCCATATACAGGTCTCGTCGAACTAAACGTGGAGGTGGTAGAAATGTATACGCCCAGTTGAAGAATGCGAGCACGGGTAAACGAAATACAAATACAGTTGCATTGGGCAGTGGGCTACTGGGCAATAAATCTCAGCCGTTGACAAGTGGTCGACAAATTGTCCAGCAGTGCAGTGCAGCAATGCGGAATTTGGTGTGATTCAGGTAATTTTAATTTATTATAGGCACCTTCTATTAATCATTGATATTACAATAGCGAAAGGGAGAAATAATATTATTACAACATGGCATTTTTAAGACCTTTTAAAACGGAACAAAACAAAATTTACCAACAATATAATAAAATTGTTTGAGGACATAAATAATTAAAATATGTTGTTGGCCAAATGAACATATAATAGAAATTTTCTGCACATTATATACAAAGTATTATAATTTTTTACCTTTATCAGAAAACTTTTTAAGGACGCCTATGAAATTCATTAAATTTTATTGCCAGACGTTTTTTACATGTTCAAATGACTTCGGAAAGACTAATAATAAATCCAACGAGTGTCTTTTAAAAAGAGCACAACAATCCCATATATGTATTTCAGCAAACGGTGTATACCTAGTTAGTGAGGTATGTAAGTCTGTTTCTGGATTTTTATAATTTGCCTTTGACTTCTGAAACCATTTTCGCTTTTTTATTTTTCTACCAACTACTTATATGATAATAATGTTTATTTACATTGTAATCTGAAAGTCAACTAAAATTAGATAAATAAACATTGGAACCGCCCACAGAAACCTTTTAATTGAACATAGGGTTAGTAAACATTACAATTACAAATAAGTTATTATGACTCACAAACTATAATAATTACTAATGTACCTAGTTTTTAAAGAATAAAACATTTTCTTTTCCAATAAATTAAATACCTTATAACTTGTGACTGGAATAAACATACTCAGACAGAACCCTGAATGTAGGTACTATTTTCACACCAGGGACAAAACATAAGTAAGTACTGATATCGATATCCTACAAACAGTACAAACAAATGAAAAATAATAGAACTGCGTTAATTACACAAATCTCTACATTTATAGTTGATTATCACTTAAATCTGATAAGAATAAATTTCACATAAGTATGTGTTAAATAATTAACTAATGTTGTCTTAAATGTTTATTCACATTTTACATTATAAAAGTATTTTTTAAATTGTTAATACAGCTATTAGAAATAATGTTATCTGTTTTCATGAGTCATAACAGTGTATAAAATTTTTCTATGATAACAGATAACTCTGAAAATACTACAAACCAAATTGTCTCCCTGTTTTTCTAATTCCTTAAAACAGGCTTTTAAACTTGAAATCTATTTTTTTACGATTAATTTATACATATACCTACGTGTTTTATATAATTTTGAAAACCTAGCTAGAGCAAGATAAAGATTAATAATGACATGCTATGCTTGACATTTAAACTAGAGGGACTTTGTTTTTACAACCCTTTCTTTAACAGTTAATAGTCAATAAAGAGTAATTCAATATTTAATCAGTATAATTAACATTGATGCATTAACAACTGAATTGTTTTTTACTGAGAATAAAATAGTTGAAATTTGAAAATTGATAAAACTAATTCATTACGAAAAAATATAAATATAAGTAAAAGTTAAACTCACCTATTAGACATGTATTTCCACAATTTTGTATTTAAAACATCTCCAAAATATATTTCTCACAAAGGGGGAAGAAATATACAATTGATACGGAAATATTACAATGTACTACATAACACTTATCATTGCACATGGTGAGGCAGAGTTTCGTTTTCATTATTTCTACAATTACAAGACACTGCACATTATAAACACTGTAGCCGGAACTCTTAAATTTTACTTCCCAAAACATAAACCACAAGAAAACATTCGTCAAATCCAATTCCTAGGAGCACCAGACTTGATGAGAGCAACAACCGGAATATTATTTCTGCGCAAGATTCCTACTTTGGGTCTGGGTACTTTTAAACCAATTACACTTACTTATTTTGGCGGTCTAGTTAAAACTTAACAATCAAGTTTACGTAGATACCTATTTCATATTTATGTATCCCTAAGATGTAGGTATGTTATTAAATATCAAATATCAATGTAAAATTAAATCAGCATCAGCGAGGTGTCACGATCTATATATTGATGGGCTATGATGGAGAAAACTTTCCTATGGTTTCGTCGGGAATCATTTTTATTTATATATAAGTACATGGTATTTCGAAAAAAGTACCTTCCATAAATTCAAGAGCTCGTAGAATATCAAACATTAAAATTTTTTCCTATTGACTCATTTTTGAGAAACAGTTCGTCAATGGTGATTTGTTTTTCGAAACTCAATAATATTGCATTATATTATATTGTTTTGAAATACTGAAATTTAGTATGTACAAGTTCATGTTTTATAGGTACAATATACAACCTTTTGTAATTTATTTCAAATTGACCGCCAAAAATATTTATGTATTTTATATTATTGGATAAAAACAAATGGGATTTTAACACAACACAGTTACAGATCTTCCAGAAGTACCTATGCAATTATTTTAGGAATTGGCGATCCCTCCAATTTACTTTTAGAAATCCGTGATTTTTGAGGATATTAGAAATATATCAGTATTATGAATTTTCCTCTATTTTGTAGAGGTCGTTATCATTTTCATACATAAATAAGACACATACAATATAGCTTAGCTCAAGATAGCGCCTGGGATAGGAGAGCAGTTTTATATTGCCGAGTTGCCGATAGAGTACAGTACACAGAATTTTAGGAAGTTTCAAATGCAGGGACCAGTATTCCTAAACAATACTTAAGTGTATCCTAAAAATGCATAAACAACAGTTTGGCAATGTTGTCACGCGTACGCACTTATTTATTTTGTACACTTTTTTTATCAATGCCTATTTTTGTGTTGCTGTACCTATTTACTTACTTAAATTTCCAAATAAACAAATTCATAGTGATATTTTAAACAGCTAGTAATATATTTTTTTTAATATTTGATGCCATAATTTTTATAAATTTAAATAAAATATACAAGGTTGGTTATTAGTACGTCGTGGAAAGTAGGTACAGGGTTTTTGTTTGTATTTCTACACCTACCTATTCACAGCTTTAATCACTAAAGATAGAAAAAAACTTTAAACACGAATGTAAAATTTTTCCTTTATTATCTTATTCTGACATTATTGAAATTTGCTGGCATACAATAATAAACGTTTAAAATAAAAAAATGTTAAACAAATTACAATACATTCTTATTATTATTGAAATAACAACAAACTATTTTTATAACTTACCTTTATACACATATTTTATGGATATGTTTTGTGTTTTGGAACATACTTAATGATAATATAAGGAGAATACTTAAACTTAAAAACAAAATAACATTAAAATAGGTACCTATCCATTCTTAAAAATCTTCCGCATGCCCAATTGGTGAATGACACTGTTGAAAATATGCTTTAATTTACTATTTATTGCCTTAAAAATAAATTCAGGATTATCAAATATTTCGTGCTGTATTTTTTCTCTCAATACTTGTAAATTTTAAGGTTTACAGTCCGTACGATATTTGTTGGCACAGAATTCGAATTTCACGCACCTGTCTCGGTAAACAGTTACAGTAGTTTCGATAACAGAGATTTATTGGTTTATTCTCTTATTTTATAAAACCTGTGGTGACTAACAGTTATCCTACTATACTCGTATAGTCGGTTTCCGAAGATTTTAGTACTTATGGGATTTATGACATTTAATTTGTGCTGTGTTAATTTCTTTCACTGAATTATTTCCATGTTAATTTTTAATTTGCCCTAGGGTGTTATAGATATTCATAATGCCCTAGGGCAGCGGTCGGCAACTGGCGGACCGCGGTCCAGATCCGGACTTTTTAAAAGTATAAATTACTCAAATAAATTATTAAAAATATATTTTTTTTTCGTTTTAGTGCCACCCTTATTTTTTCTAGCATTTTAGAATTGTGCGACTGATTTGAGTTCTTAATGGTTAGTAAGCAGATTAAATTGGAGTGCAAATTAAAATAAAAAACTAGTAAGAAATATATTTTTTTTTCTGAACCTTGTTAAAAATTTTGAAAAGTATCCGGACCCCACCTAATATTACTTGCCGACCCCTGCTCTAGGGCATTTACATTTTAAAAGAAAACGAAAATGTTTGTACAATTAAATTTAGTTTTGTATACTGCTTTCTTCAAGGATATAAAGCTAAACTGCACACATTTTTTTCTGTACCTCATATTATTTGTTCTAAAAATATCTTACAAATGAAGTTGCTTTATTATTATTATTATTATTTTACAAAAATATAGTTTATTTAATCAATGACTTCTAAACACTTTCTGGTTTGATTCTTAAAAAAAACAAAACCGGAACACTTTTTTGTTTCATTTTACCAGATTTTGCCGCTAAGACCCACCGATTTCGTGAGGCCGTAGGCCGTAGCCCCCCCTAAAGCCAGACCTGATGTTAGTTAAGAAACACTCATATGTAGCTAAATCTTTTTACAACATTTAATAGGCCGTTCCCAGACTGTCTTAATCATTGCTGTATCACCTCTGTATCATTGCCCACCTCGGAAAATTCGATGACTACCGCAGGAAAAAAAGATACAATAATATCATCTTTCTCAAATCGGTACTCTTTTTTTTAGAATCAAACGAAAGAGTGCTTAGGTTTTTGAAACATTATATCAGTAAGTCGTTGATTGAACAATTTTTAACGAAAATGTGACAATTTATAAAGTGATTCTACTTGCTTAAATAATATGTAATGTGTTTTTATTTTTTTGAAATTAAGTAGGCTTAGTTTCAAAGCTGCACTTAGAAAGACAGTTGAATATTACATACTGAAGATACCAAATTTATAAATTTTTTGACACAACAGGCTGAATATTTTTACATCTTTGGATAGAGTGCTTTCTTAACATTACAGTGGCATAATATGTAGAGATCTATCTCTAATAATATTAAGATATGGCCAAAAGACTAGATTTTATTGTCAGCATACTTTTGGCCATATCTTCCTTGTTATTAGAGATACATCTATCAAACCTTATACCTGAGGAAGTGTTCTATCTAAACATGTAAAAATATATTGTTTTATTAAAAAAAAACTTGATAAATAAAAACTGGCCCTGTATTTTTTATTTTTATATAAAATTATTAAATTATTTAACTGGAAATTAAAAAAATATATACTTAACTAAATCAAATTTGACGAACAGCTGTGACATGCTAGATTAGACGTTATTTAAACCGCTTATTAATAGGAAGTTCTTATACCAATGTCCTTCCCCTTTTGTTTACTAATGGAGAGACACAGAGGAGATACTTAAATAAGAAATTTTCTCTAATAACAATGTATGTTACAAGTTGATAACATTTTTTTCTGCAAATACCCCATTATTACCAAAATGCAACATTTGTTTTTCCAATTAGTCGAGAATTCACACAAACATTTCTTACTACTTTAGCCCAAATACAACAAGCAACAAAGATAAGGTGAAAGAATATTATGTAAATAATACATTTCAACTCAGAATTTTTTAACAATGACTTTTTTCATAAAATGAAAAATAAAAGTGGTGGATAGTGTATATTTAGTTAAAATAATACTTATTAATCAATATAACTGTATGATTTTTTTGTAGTGTAGGTACTTTATTCAAATATTTTATATGTATATAGTGTTGGTTCTTTGTTATATTTGCTTTTGATCGTTTGCTAAGAAAAATTATAATCGTTATTTACGTTTTATGAAGTCTTTTAGCTACATCATATTTTAAGTTTATTACAATTATTTAGAGATTTCATATATTACACTATTATTTGTCACAAAATGTAAATATGAGTGACATTTCTTAAATACGAGCCAAAAAAAATCCTAGCTATGCCCATTACTACTCTTTTTCTGACCTTACTAATCCTAAAAGAGTTACTGCATTCATGTAAGCAAAATTTATAAACATTGTAAATTAAAAATTATTGACTGGTTTGTTTAAGCAGCCCTGAAAAATAGAGAAACAAAAATTTATTATATCTAATTTGAAATAATATAATGCTTATAGCTGCTAAAAGACCTCTAAAGATTTGAACTGTTTCATAATAAAACTGAACCGTAAACCAAAAATGATATTTTATTTTATTTGAATTAACAATTTACTCTTCTAAGTAAATATTTAAATTGAAAATACATTTACCATTAATTAAAGTACTTATTTAATATAAGTGTTTTATACAAATAATGAATTACTTAAAACTTATGTAGCTACAACTAATACATCCAATGATTGATTTTACACACTTTTTTGTAATTCGTACATCTTCAAAACTTTTAAACCAGGAATAAACATTCATCACAATCAATTTTAAAAAAATACACTTGAAAAGCACCACTGGTAAAAATACCAAGGTAATTAAATTATAAATAATTTTACATAAAAGGAAATTGTGTCAAAACATATTCTATTCAATGAAAAATTATTCACCGTCTGTCTCTGTAACGATGACGACTTTCTCTCTCTCTATCTCTGGAACGTTCACTAGTCCTCCATATAAATTCATCAACGGATCGATCATATGAACGTTTGTCGGAATAAGAACTTATCCTAGACGATGCATATTCAGGTATTGGAAGTCCCTCATAATAACGAGGTGGAGGCAGATTATCATAGGCTGAAGCTGAATATAAACCAGGAGGTGGAACATATGGTAATGGTGGCAACTGATGCTGCATCGTTCGCATATAGTCAGCAACATATGCTTCAGCAGCTGCTGCTGTATATGGCCTTGGTGAGTCTCGATCATAAAATAATGAATACCTATCTCTAGGGCGAGGCGATATAGACCTCCTGTATGAAGTTGATGTTGTTAATCCCCTTGTTTGCAAAAAATACTTTCTTCTAGAATAGGATGCTCCTCGGCCTCTGTATCCAAATGAAGAAGTTCGAGCTGCTATTGGCATTCTAGCTTTTGGATGTCTGTGACCATCACGACCACGTAAATTATTTTTTTTTGCTGCTTCTTTAGCTAATCTTAAAATAGGAGTAATTTCTATACCTTCATCTTCTGGAAATAAACGACATAGTTCCTCAGCTACTCTGGGTTCTATTTCTTGTCCATCCCTTCCTATTTTAACAGGTTTACCATCATTCCATGGATTGTATAAATGCATTGTGCTTGAAAATGGCAATTCTTTACGACAAATCCAATCCACTTTAAATACACCACCTAATGCCTTTGCAGACAATCCTGGTGGCAACACCCAAGATATGGCTGGAACATCATGTCGTGATTCACCATGCAGTCTGGCAAAACCGGCAAACTTTCCACTTTCTTTTACTGAAAATATAAGTAACACGTTTCTTGATTCTCTATAAGCCTTATTTAAATTGGCTTCATTTTGAGGTAAAGTAGACCATACACCTTTAGCTTTTGAAAGTGTAATATTTTCAGCATTGTTCGATTTTATTACAAAAAAACGAGCATCTCGAAACAAGTAGTTTAATTTAGTAAGATAATCATAGGATTTGGTCTTGGCATCCTTAGAACGAGTTCTTTTAGCTGCTGGAGATGGACTTTTATCTTTAGAACGGCCCCTTTTATGCCTGGAAAGCCGTCCCTTTCCTGATGAATTCGTACTTACAGAACTTATGCTTGGAGCAGATGAACTTTCAGAACTAGAAGAAGATACATCACTTTCATAATTCACTTCATCCAATTTCATTTCATCGCCCATATCCAGGCTCAAATTTAGATTTTCTGGATCTATACTGCCATTCTTATTAGAGTTCCTCGAGTCCATTATCATACCAAATATGTACGATTTCTTAACTATTAATACTATTAATCTTCAAACATTTTCCTGATTATATTTCAAATTTCACAAAAATTTGTGAATAATTATTCTTTAAAACTTAGATTTATAGTCCAGAAAATAACCATTTAACCAAACAAAAACACTGTCTTTTATATTGGCACTATTGGCAGGACAATTGGATTGGCAGTGCTGCTAACCATAGATCTTGTAAACTATAGACCATCCAAGAAAGATAAGACAGTTGCGCGATTGTATAAATGAAATAAAGCTAGTTAGGGCACAGAATATTCCAACTTATACACAGTTCAGAGCGAACAGCCGAGCTGAGCAGACGTGTTTGTTTGTGAGGTGAAGTGAGTGCAACGAGCAAATTCTACCTGCCTTTATTAAGGCTACCTGGAAAGAATCCCTTTCTTTCCTTTTAATCACCGACCTAATCCCCGGTTTAAGCATAGAGGCCGTCGGCATCTTTGTTGCAGGTACCTGTCCCGGGGTTATGCCCAGGTAAGTTTTTACTTATTTATCAGTTATTTGCATTACTTTAGAATACATTTCTTTAAAATTGCGACCCCCGACAAACAATATACCAGACAGACAAATACACCAAAAGACACGTACGCCCCCGTGAGGGGGCATCCC